TCAAAGGCATATAACGGCACATAGCAACAACAACTACTGATTTCCCCAAGAAGTAACCATTCCCTCCCTTTGCACCTTCACTCACTTCTGCACATACCACTCTCACAGCAATTATGCACTTGACTGTTCAGGTCTGTCCTTTCTCTACATGTCTGAACTTCTCTGACACATATCACACCACTTAGGGCATTAGTTGGTGGTGGTGTTGTTATGTGCTGTCAAGTTGGTTCTGACTCATAGCAACCCTGTATAGGGTTCCAAGGAGCGGCTGGTGAGTTTGAACCACCGACCTTGCAGTTCAGTGCATTAACCCACAGTGCCACAGCTGGGCTCCACAGTATTAGTACTTAGTAAAAATCAGCAAAATATTGACAAATATATCATTAAATACTGATCCTTTCTAGTTATGTTAAATCTATTACGTGACAAATTTAACTGACATAAACTATTTTTCAGCTTTTGAATCATTGCTGCTTAAGTGCCACGGAGCAGGCTCCAATTCACAGCAACTCTGTATAGGGTTTCCGATGAGCAGCTGGTAGGTCTGAAGCACCAACTTTGTGGTTCACAGTCCAGTACTGATCCTACAGGATCACACCACAAGTCCTACTACACTAAAAATCCATCTTCCTGTCTACTAGGTAACTTAGGCCCTGTCAGATATGACTTGTTGTCATTCTTATACTTACTTTGTTGAGTCCTCAAATTCAATCTTTCCAATTTTGTTGAACATACAGATGATCTCACTACAATTCAGATTCAACCTAAAATAAAACATCAACATACAAGTAACTGCTCTAACTTCATTACTTCTTCTAAATAAAAATGAGTTGCTGACATTAAAATAACTCTAAAAGAAAATGAAAAACATTTAAATAGCTTTCTAATTTAACATAGATTCTACTTACTTTAAATGGTTGGTTGCTAACTTGGGCATTTGTTACTACTCAAACTTTTGATATTTACTTGCTTGCTATTTTAATATATTTAGGCCCTAATACATTTTTATGGAGCTCTGGTAGCGTAGTAATTACAAATCGGGCTGTGAACCTCAGGGTCAGCAGTTTGAAACTACCAGCTATTCTTCCACAGAAGAAAGATGAGGTTTTCTGCTCCCGTAAAGATTTACAGCCTCAGAAATCCTGTACAGGATTGCTATGAGTCTGAACCGACTCCATGGCACATAACAACAACTATACATTTTTACCCATAATTGTTATAGCTCCCTGAGAAATAACTCACCTGGAAGAGGGCCGTTGCTTTAGAGAACTCACTTCTGAGAACTCACTTTCATATGTTAACTTCAAAGTTCGGATAATCTAGAATTAACAATGTCATTCATGTGTGAATTTTCCATTGTCACAAATATTTCAGAAATAATAACATTTTAGAAGGGACATTATAAACCTTTGTTGTTGTTGTTGCTAAGTGCCGTCGAGTCAGTTCCGACCCACAGCGACCCTGTAAAGGGTTTCCGAGGAGCAGCTGTTGAGTTTGAACCACCGACCTTGCAGTTCAAATGGCTTTGCAGTCTGGCACAGTAACCCACAGCGCCACACCAGGACTCCTATAGACCTTTCGGTATATCATTAATTAATGTATTTATGGCTTGAATTGAAGGTACTCAAAGGAATGCAAATAAGGATTTAATATAGTACTCTTTTTCCCATAATAAGAGTTTAAAATTTTTTGGAGATGTGTATTAACAGGTAACAAAAAAGACACTAGCAAAAGAAAATATAGCTATAACTATCAAAAAAGGAGTCCTGGTGTGGTGCTGTGGGTTAATGCACTGGGCTGCAAAGTCAGTCTGAACCACAAGGTCAACAGTTCAAGCTCTCCAGCTGCCTTGGAAACCTTGTAACAGGGTCACTGTGGATCAGAATTGACTCGACAGCACGTAACATCATTCTACTGATTTTGTGCTTTACTGTCTTAAAATGTTCTTTTTTGCCTCCCGACTGGATGCCAGTTAACAACTGGCTTCCTAAATATGTTTTACTACGGTCAAGACCAAATCTTATGACTTTTTTCACCCCTAGTGAGTGCCTCATGGGAGTTCTGGTATGGCACTGTAGGATAAAGCACTGGACTGCAAGGTCAAGTCAAACCACATGGTCAGCAGTTCAAACTCACCAGCTACTCCTTGACCAACTTAACAGCACTTAATAACAACAACAAAGTGCCTCATATGTAATACATGTTGTTAAGTACCATCAAGTTGGTTCAGACTCATAGCAATCCTGTATAGGGTTTCAAGGCTTTAAGTCTTACAAGCAGACATCTTTCTCCCAAGGTAATACATAGAAAATGACTATAACTGTGTTTAGAACTGTAGGGGAAGGAGAATGTTGTTAGTACCATGAAGTAGTTTCTGACTCATTTCTACTCTGTATAGGGTTTTCCCAGGAGCAGCTTCTGGATTTGAACTGTTGATCTTGTGGTTAGCTACTGCTGTTCAGTGCCATCGAGTCGGTTCTGACAAATAGCCACTGTGTATAGAGTTTTCAACTCAATCTTATGGTCCAGTACTTATGCTACTGCGCCACACCAGGACTCCTTGTGCTTAGGTGCCTTCCAGTGACGATCCTACAGAGCCACACCAGGAAGGGCTGGTCAAAAGTGAGGGTAGCAAACTCTTCTTCCATTTAACATTACAGACTCTGAATCAAGGTTGCCTATGGGAAACAAGGTCCTTAAGATTCAGAAGTGAGTAAAGCAGAACCCATACATTTAGTGAACAGGATTGAAATGAGCAAAAGAGGATCCAGAGCTACTCCTGTCCTGCCAAACCATCCTGTACAACCCATTTATTTTTTTACCCAACTTATCTCCTATATATATAAATAGATGACAGGAAATAGTTGAAGAACTTGTTTTTGGAGGTGTAAGATGGAGAAAAATAAAAGTTGACAAACTTGCAGATAGTACCAGTTCGACCTAGTTTCAGTGGCTTGATGATCAGAACTCAACTTGAGGAAGATAAAGAAATCTGATAAAGGAAGTAAGTGTAAATTGCTGCAATTTGATGAACTTGACCTATACTTATGGATGTAGTAGCTCAAAATACCAACTGAGAGGCAAGCCATCTTCATATCAAGGATCAAACCTATCCCCTTCATTCACAGGTTGATAGAGATGGGCAACTTAGACATTGGCTAACAAAATGGGGGAGGGGAGAAGCAGGAGATGCTAAAGGCACGAAGTGGCTGGCTTAGAAGTTTTTA